TCTGTTTCCTCTTGCCTGAGTTCCATCTTTTCTTGACTATCTGCCCTGACTGTCTCCTGGAAAAGCTTTTATTACTTCGTTATAACCATATCTGTTTCTCCACAAAATGTCTTTCAGAGCATTCATGGAGCTGCCCATGGTATAGCTAGGCCATAGCTCAAATAGAGACAAAGAATCAAGTTATGTTGAAAAGGATCTCTGGAGACCCTTAGTCCAACCTCCTGCTCAAAGCAAGGCTAACTTTAGGGTTCAGTTGAGTTACTCAAAGCCTTCTTTAATTGGTCTTTATAATTTTCAAGGATGGAGATTTCATAGTATTGCTCAACAACCTTTTCCAGTGCGGCATCTAGTAATGGAAAAACATTTTTATATTTATATCCAGTCAGGATTTCCCTTGAATCAGCTTTTGACTGTGGCCTCTTGCCTTTTTGCTGTTCACCACCAAGAGCCTCACCTTATTTTCTCTGTAAATCTCCTTAGATAGAAAAAAAGAAGTAAAAAAACACCGACACATCTATTAGAGATGTGTCAGATCTTACTAGAGCGGTAGGCAGTAGGAGCAAGAGTTATACTGGCCATGCAAATCCACCTGCTCTAATTTATGCATCTAAATATCATGAGTCTAATCCCGAATTAGTCTCCATAGGATCATTCTAGAATCAAAAAGGGGAAACAGGCATCTCTGAAGGTTCTTTTTCTTACCAGCGATGCTAAGCCTATATCAACTGTTTTGTTCTCTGGATGTGCTTATTTTTGTCCACTGGTTGTAAAGATCCTGCCTCAGGCTTTTAGCTCTTAAGACATCTGAAGCAAAATGATAGGAGTATCAGAGGAAAAAGACTGTATGGAAGGAGAACATACTCACACAGTCACTGGGGTGGGACTAAGTGCAGAGCCCCTAAGCAGAATTCAGCATGGAAATGCAAGAGAAGGCAAGCTGCTTCTGAGCATGAGGCTCAGCTCCCCTATTTTATGTTTTCATCTCTGCTGTCGACACAGCCTTCAGTGCCCAAACCGTGTGGCATTGGAGGCATTTTATTCCTAAATTACTGATTAATATCCAACTGAGGTACTCCTGTGTATGGGAGCAGCAGTCAGCTTTTTCAGTGCTAGGTCTTTTCTAAAGGTCCACAGTAAGGCAAACACATCTGTGTTACTGGCTACAAAATGTCAACGTTCTGCATGGGCATTCCCCAGTAATGGACAGTACAGAGATAAATGATATTATTTCAACCCTGCCAGGGCTCTTTAGAACACGAAGAGGGAAAAATCTTACGTGTTCAGCTGGAGCTGAACCAGGTGAAGTCAGAAGTTGATAGAAGGAGTGCAGAGAAAGATGAGGAAATTCAACAGCTGAAGAGGAATCACCAGAGGGTATTAGAGTCCATGCAGACCACGCTGGATGCTGAGATCAGAAGCAGAAATGATGCTTTGAGGCTGAAAAAGAAGATGGAGGGAGATCTGAATGACATGGAAATACAGCTGAGCCATGCCAACTGCCAGGTAGCAGAGACACAGAAGCACCTCAAAGCTGTGCAAGGGCAACTCAAGGTAGGGACCACAAGGGCTACTGTCCCAGGGGCCTTGGCCACTCACTCTGCTTGCCTCTGAGTCTCACGGTGCTTTCACCTTCAAAGGATTCCCAGCTCCATTTGGATGACGCTTTGAGAGAGAATGACGACCTGAAGGAGCAGCTCGCTATGGTAGAGCGTAGGAACAATCTGATGACAACTGAAATGGAGGAGATGCGAGCTGCTATGGAGCAGACAGAGCGAGCCCGGAAAGTTTCCGAGCAGGAGCTGACCGACGCCAGTGAACGGGTGCAGCTTCTCCACTCGCAGGTATTCGGTGTTTCCTTTACAGTGAGGCAGTGGCATGAAATGGGGTGAGAATGACCTGTCTTCATACTGTCCCAACAGAACACAAGCCTCCTCAACACCAAGAAGAGACTGGAAGTGGACATTACTCATCTGCAGAATGAAGTCGAAGACAGCATTCAGGAAGCCAGAAATGCAGAGGAGAAAGCAAAGAAAGCAATCACAGATGTGAGTCCTCTTGCTTGCCTCTTGCAGAGGCATCCTGCATTCCCCTCCCTATACCTACATTCTCTTTCGCTTCCTAAATAAATGTAGTAGACAGGATAGAACAGATGGTGGCAAAACTGGAACAGGAAAAGAGCAGTCTGACTCGAGTCCTGTTTAGACACGGGAGAGAAAAGCAGAAATTAAAGACTAAGATCATACAAACTTCTATACAAACACTAGACATATAACAAATAGAAAGAGAGAACAGAAACGTTTCATTTAAACAGAGCTGCAGTTCCACAATACCAGAAGAAATAAATCTTATGGCTATCTAGGAAAAGTATATGAAAATGAAACAGAAAATGGCTACAGTAGCGCAAGCCCTGGTGCACCTGGGCGTTAAGTGCGGTGTCTAACTCTGGCTGCCCACCTGCTGCCATGCTGCAGGTTCCCTCTGCCCCCCTGCCCTGTCACACTGCTGACATCCCTTCATCTCGAGTTCTGAAGATCTCAGCAGGCACAAGCTTTTCACTGTGGTTCAAGATACTTGGGGTCGTTTCATTGGCAAAACTGCTTAGGATCTTTGGCAAATGTAGGCACCAAATGGCCAGATATTCAAAATCATTTGGGAGTCCAGAGATGCAGAGTGCTAGCTGGCCACTACTTCATGGTGCCCCTTATTTCCACTACTTAAAAAATGAAAATTTGGTACTAAGTCATTTGCATGCCTTAAATTATCTTTTTTTGTGTCAGCAACATGCTGTTCTCCAAGGCAGAGTAGTTTTAGAAATAAAAGTACTGAGAAACAGCAACTCTCTGTATGTGACACACCCTTAGCACAGCCATGGAACCGATTGTGAATGTGGAGATCTATACACCAGCGCGAAGCCGGGCACTGCTCGCAGGGAAAGCATGGAACTGCCAGGGAGTGGGAGGCATATTTCTAAAACAACTGTGCTCTGCAACCAGGCAGCCATGATGGCAGAAGAGCTGAAGAAGGAGCAGGACACCAGTGCCCACCTGGAGAGGATGAAGAGAAATCTGGAACAAACGGTGAAGGACCTGCAGCACCGTCTGGATGAAGCCGAGCAGCTGGCACTGAAGGGTGGAAAGAAGCAACTCCAGAAACTAGAGGCGAGGGTATGGTGAAGAGTAGGGTAGGCTAAAGTCATATTCCTGAGTGGGCTCCTAGTTGCTGGAATTCTTGGTAAGGTTACAACAGGGACAACCTCAGGTGTTTCCAGCAGGTTTGGTAACAGTTACGCTGAGTAGAGAAATGTTGCACTGTGGAATGTGGGTGATGAACTCGAGAATGACCTCATAAAAAATGAGCAGGCAAAATTGATGGCAGATGAATATTGGGATAAACATACATGGTAACTTATCTAGAGAAAAATAATTCAAAAGATACTTAGGGAAGAATTTGAAATGGATAAACAGCTCAGCCAGGAGATCTGTCTCGTCCACAACAGGCCTCAGAAACTGTTCAATGCGCAGTAGACGCGAAAGTCCAAAAGAGAAAACATTTTGAGCTTTATTAGGAAAGACACTGAGAGCAAGACAGAGAGCATCACTTACACTATATGAAACGTACCATGTGTAGCTCTGGTCACTGCAACTCAAGAAGGACCTGACAGAGAAGCATCCAGGGAATAGTGGCTGAGTGGGTGGAGCCTGATAAGAAGAGACAAACAAGGCTTGGACTCTTCTGATGGAAAGGAGATGGCTGGGGCGGGGATGAGATTGGAGTTTTCAGAATCATGACAGCAAGTGACCAAAATGTATTCTGAACAGTTATTCATCAAAATGCACAAGATAAGAAGGACAGACACACGATGCAGGTCAGGACACCTTCACCTGGAGATCAGTTCAAAAGAAATGAAAGGAAGCACTTTGCAGAGTGTGCAGTGAAATTCTGGAACCTGCTGCCCATGGGAGGTTGTAGAGGCAGCTGCACAAGGTTCAAAAAAAGGATTAGAAATCAGCAGATTTTGTAGACATGCAACGGCACTGATGTGCCGCCTTACACCTCCAATGACTGAGAGAGCTGGACAAGTGTGAGAGGAGTGGACAGCAGCCATGTTTCCATGCTGTCCCTAACTAGTACGTGCTGCTGCCACTGACAGAGGGAGAGCACTGGGCTAGATGGACCATTTGTCCGACTCACTGGGCTCTTTAAGTGTTCCTGTTCCAAAATACAGCACAACTAACTGGGAATTAAGTGCTCTTGGCTTTGAAAGGAAATATTCACAGATAAAAACATTGGTGTGCAGGTCTGACTTATATACACTGCAGAAGGGGCACAACGTATGGGAGATCGTTAAAGACTATTCATGAGCATGAGCTGGACTCAAAAATTGCAAGTGAAACAGATTTTCCCCATGCACCTGGTGAACGTTGACAGAACTCTCCCTTCCCTGTTTCAATTTCTTCTTCTCTGTCAGATTTAAGCCTCATTTTCATTATAAGCACCCCTACACATAGCTAGTTCCTTCTATAAATAACTACGGATTCACACAGTGTGTCACTACTAATAGAGCACAGTGAGGAGTTTTTTCTAGTCTGGCCACAAGAAGCTGTTGCAGGAAGCTGCCCTTCTCTGCCACTTTCTCTGCAGTCGTAGTCTGCAGAATCCTGGTTCCTGGGGTCCCACAGCTTGCCGTGTTCACTATGATACTGTCTTTCAGATTAATGAGTTGGAAAATGAGCTTCACACTGAGCAGAAACGAGGAATAGAGTCACTGAAAGGCGTTCGCAAGTATGAACGAAGGCTGAAGGAGCTCACATACCAGGTATTTCAAAACCTCTACCCTCTGCCGTGCATCACCTCAGCCCCTCTTCCAACGCTGACTTGATTTTCACTTCCCACAGTCTGAAGAGGATAAGAAAAATATTCTCCGGCTTCAGGATCTGGTGGACAAGCTGCAGTTAAAAGTGAAAGCGTACAAGAAACAGGCTGAGGAAGCTGTGAGTGCGCGACTTTTAAAATCTTTGCGGGCCCTGGGTGGAGATTTCCAAAAGGTCTGGACTCCCAAGTTTGTTAAAATAATTCAATACTCAGTTTGACATGACAGCCTTTGATTATTCCTTACCTCATCAAGACTTATGGCTCACAGTAGAGTGGCCACAGCTCTAACTATTCTTATACCTTATCCTGGAGGTGGGACCTTACAGTTACAGCGTAACTGTAACTATCCTGGCTAGTGGGGCCACACTAGCCAGTTTTCCCAGATGGAACTGAGCAGGACTAATTGTTCTGTCTCCAGCTAAGCGCTCACATTGTTGACAGGACTAGACAGGAATGCACGGAGTGCTGGCAATGCAGAGATGCAGCTGTGAGCTAACCTGTAGGTGATGTTAACCGCGGTGCAGCCATAGGGTGTTCAGTTACTGTTGTATCCATGTCGTTGACGGCACTGTGTGACTTTCAGGAAGAGCAGGCAAATGTCAACCTCTCACGATGCCGCAAGACCCAGCACGAGCTGGAAGAAGCTGAAGAACGAGCTGATATTGCTGAATGTCAGGTTAACAAGTTGCGAGCCAAGAGTCGTGACATTGGAGGACAGGTGAGCTGGAGGGCTGCAGAGCAGGACCGCTCCTACGCACCAAGCGCCACAAAGATCTTTGCCCAAACACCCGGCAGCCATGGCTATATTCCTCCCACTTTTGCACCAGTGTGTCCTCATAAAGGAAGGCAAGAAATTAGCACTTTTACAAAACCTGTGGGTTTTCAAAGCCCTTTTGGTGCCTCACGAGAGATCAGCCAGGTATGATTGACTCTTAAGAATCCAGGAGATAACTGGATGGGAGATAACTGGTTCTTTGCCAGTAACATGGCAGAACATTTGCAATAGCCACAGACCTAAAGCAACCCCACAAATAATTCAATTGCTCCAATAACCTCTACATTATCTTCCTTTTGTTACATCTAGAAATTGGAAGAATGAGGTCCCTGGACAGAGATGCGGCGGGCTCCCTTACAATATAGACTTCTGTGCATCCAACAGAGATGTTCATTACTCGCTTCAAGTAATTAGGTGTGCATGTAACTGATCTTTGAGCTGGTCATATTTAGCCAACGCTAAGTAGAAGCTGTGAGAAATAAAAATAAACTTGTGAGACATTGCGGTGATTCTGAGGACTACCAATTCATTACAAGATGGACAGAGAGTGTGTCTCTGTGAACAGCGGCAGCAGGTATGGCAGAAGTTCTCAAAAGTCCATGTTATAGCCTGTGCAAGGAAGAGAAGTCCCAGGGGATGGGAACACACTCCTCACTTCTTCTCCACCATTTCAGATCTCACGCTTGAGAGAAGCTAACACTCTGATAGGAAAAAATGCAGAGAAAGTCTCTCCATAAGGCCGTAACGGTACCTGTGACCTGAACTGCTGCTCTTCTGCCCTCGTAGCCCACGGCAGCACGCTGTGAGGATGGGGAAAGCCACAGCGCACGGCCAGGGGGATCTGCCATGAGAGGATGGAACGGGTGGGATCAGGGGCCACCACCGTGAGCGTGGGTGTGCGGGGTCTGCGGAACTGGTTGTGCCTGAGGGAAGGAGGGAAAAGTCAGCTCCTCGCAGGCCGTGTGTGCGGGATGTGCTCCATGTGTCACGGGGGCAGGTGTGCTCTGTGCCCGGGGAAGCTCGGCTCTGTGTGTCCTGGGGCGCTGCCACCTCCAGAGCTTTCAGGAGCTCTTAGTGCTCATATCAACGTGCGTCACAATGGAGAAACACTTCTGTCAACAGGCCCTGTCACAGACAACCTTTCCTTGTCAGAAGAAAGACTGAAAAGAGATACAGAGAGAGATCACCACCCTTGGATCCTGTGACACATTGACAGACACAGCAATGGATCCTCTGGTGGTGGGCGAGCACAGAGTCAGGCCCAGAATCCCTGAATCTCCTTGGTTGGATGAGAACTTTAAGACCGAGTCCAACCATTAACCCAGCACTGCCAGGGCACCACCAACCCATGTTCCTGAGCACCACATCCACACGATGTTTAAATACCTTCAGGGACGGCGTCTCCGC